GAGGGAGAAGCAGACTCCCCGCTGAGCAGGGAGCCCGATGTAGGGCTCGATCCCAGGACCCTGGGATCATGACCTGAGCCGAAGGCAGACGCTTAACCAACTGAGCCACCCAGGTGTCCCTCACTTAACCTTTCTACTGCAGGGTTTTTTTTAGCTGTAATACAGAGATGGTATTCATTTTACAGAATTCCTGTAGGGTTGTATGACATGATGAATATTAAGTGTCTGGCACATAGAATATAATCCATTTTTCAATCAATATTAGAAATGAATATAACAGACTATTAGTCTTCTGTATCTATTTTGGCTTGCTGCTGTGTTCATTTTCAAGGTGAGCTGTTGCCTGGAGAGAGATTCTGTGGGAGCCAGTAGCCCGTCTGGCGCTTACATGGTTCGCTAATTCACCCTAGTCTTGTATTAGACTTTAAAAATCATTTTTAGGCTGTCGTTCTTTGCCGTAATCCCTTTTCTCCATGTATTGAAAAATTGTCCTTACCAGATGTCACATGTGACCTCCCCAGGACCTATGTCAAGTCAGCAGCCCCGGGGCCAGGGTGTGCACATATACACCATCGCCTCCCCCATCGGTAATGCCAGGGATGCCCAAGCAGCACCCACTGACTTCCCTCTTTCACCCTCAAGGGTGCAGCCTTGGCTGCCCTAGAATTGGGCGGTCACCCAGGAGAGACCCCCTGCCATCGCCTCATCTCTACTATGCAGCCCCTCAGCTCTATTTAAAAAACACATTATTGTCTTCTCCTTGCCAGCTTCCCACAAATAATTAGTGCTCAAGTCTGCAGTTACCTTTGGGGTTCAGGTGAGGGAGAGGCACCTGTAATAATGCCAGGGAGGCAGCTGCTTACAGGGAAGTAACTCTTCTCATGGTGAGGGCGCTTGGAGTTGTTTCTCCTGTCAAGTAGCTCTTCTTGTCCGTGCTGGTAATAGTAATATTCTTGATGGTGATACACAGAGAAACTAGTTACCAGCTAATATGTATTGTTTTCTTTTATAAACGAAAAGATAAAACATTACAGCTGAGCAAGTGCTTGGCGGAGTAGAAGTCTCTCCGCCATGTAGGTCGCCTGACATCTCCCCATTTAGCCGGGGAAGAGACGGGCTGGGGTGATGCCAGTAGTCTGTATCATGGGACAACCCAGCTCCTCTGTGCCTGGCTCCCTGCTTCACAAAGAAAACTTCCCCCCAAACAACCTTTTGTTTCTACCACTGCAGTAGGGAAGAAAAAAGGGAGGAAGATGATAAATATTTAAAAGGGTGGTAACTGGACAGAACACATTGCATCCCACATCTCAGTGCACTGCTCCTCATTTCTGGATTTTAGAAAGTGGAGCTATGCCTGTGGACAGAGTAGATGTATAATGCCTACAGGAGAGTTTCTCTCTATTGATCATACACGTCAGACGTCTTGCAGTGAGTTAACAAAACAGAATTCTTTCATCGTTTACAGGTGCCTTTGAAATGCTCTTTGATACCACAACACCATAGACTTATATCACTTAAACTCCATTGTGCAGTGGTTTAGAGTCACGTGTATCAGCAGAGCTTTGACGTGAAATGTGAGCGTGACAGATGTTCTCACATTTTGATTAGGCTCTCAGTGGTGTTGCCAACAATGACCTAACCATTGTAAAAGCAGGCCCTAGAGAGGGATTTGTGCATGAATGGAAAATGTCATGATGGTGTGTAATAGAAACCACAGCATTTTGGGGGGAAAAAAGGATATTTTTGTTTTCAGTCACTTTAGGGTAATGTCACTTTTGATTCCTCTTGACCCTGGTGTTTATATTTATTCCATATGTGATTTAACAAGAAGATCCTCTGGACCATTTGCAATTCCTTCTTACATTTTGTGAGGAATGTTATCATTGGGAGCAAACACTGCAGCACAGATTATGCTGCATAGTTGGTCGATGCAATTAATGATGGTCATGACCATGTACATCTACCTGGTGGGGTAGCTGGTAAGATAGACCAGGACAGGGAGAAAGAGAAGGTCAGAGAAACATGTGGCTAAATAAACGACAGAGGACTATTCTTGTGTGCTGTACATTCACCCAGGACCCAGCGCATCTTGAATTTGGGCGGGGGGGGGAGGGGTGGGAGGTCTTGGAGGATATGGTGTCATATTTCGCTGGCAGACATAGAACAAAACTGTCCGTATAACCTTTACCCGTTCCTGACTGCAGCTGCGGGTGGAAAATTGATCTGTATCAGGAATATAATTTTGAAAATCAGATCCTTGAAAAACTGTTCATTTCTCTTCCAATCGGGGGGGGGGGTAACATATAAAAATTTAGTTTTAGATAGGGTTATCAAATCTGCAGTTGACTAATCTTGTCTTCTTTATTTTTTCGTTGTGAATGACACGTCCACATAATATTGATTAGAACCTCTGCGCCCCTCTTTTTAAAAAGAAGCTGAAATACTGAACATTAGAAATTACATTCATAAAATAAGTTTGGTGATAAGTGATTTACCTGAAAAAAATCTGTCTACGTTTATAATCAGTAATGTGTTTCATTTTAAACAAACGTGAAGTAATAGGGACATGGTAGTTAAATTTAGTCTGTCAACAAGTATGACCTGACCTTCAGTGCCGCTGGTACTGTTTGAATACAGAGAATTTCTAGACACAAGGCATTGACCCTGGGAAATTTACAGTCAGACTGGAAAGTTGAGACATACAGATCTGAAAGGTCAGACACCGCCAGGGTGTTCTGTGAGTGAGCAAGGGCAGGGTGCAGCCTTCAGTCAGAGCTGCAGTGTTGAAGACACAGGAGGGTGGGGGCTTCCGTAATCCCTAGCTCCCCATGAGACTCCTGACCAGTTTTGCCACCACCCTCGTTCAGAGACTGCCTCTGCCTTCTCGGGGCAGGTTAATTTCATAATTTCACCGCAAATTCAAGGAGGGAATCATGCCCTCCGTATCCCGTGCAGTGGGCTTGCCTTTTGTCGTTAGTGGATGGGGTAATGTTTGCACTGTGGTGGAACGTGGCATGATACGTAGTGGAGCAAAGTACACTTTTTGGTTTCTCAGTATCTCATTTTTGTCCAGCCAGGCTGAGAGATTGGCTTTTTTTTCCTCCCCAAATGAAAAACAAAATTTATAGACCTGAAAAAGAACAGTGAACGGAGTGTACTGTAAATAAACTACATTATCAACAGTTTCCACATTTCATAAAAGACAATAAATTGGAAGGAAGGTCCATCTTATGGGTGAAAGCAAACAATATAGTATGAAAATAGTAAGAATCATCTTGATTCCTGTTTTCTTATGCTTAGTAGGGACTTTGCGCTGAGGTTTACCTGTAGTAATGCATATGAAACACCAGGAACATCCCAAAGGTGGTTTGCTGGGTAACTGAAAAGAAATGTTAAAATTAAATAATTCTTTGAGTTTACTAAAATGCCTTGAGGTAGAGGGAGTGGGAATTTTTTTCTTTAATTTAGTGTAGGTTTTTCTAACCTTGGTGATAACTGGTTTGTGGTTGCTAGCATACACAGGCTTTGCCATTCAGAGAACATGTTCTCAGAACATTAATTAGTCTTTTAACATTTGTTAACTTCTGTGCTGAGCTCATGGCACATCCAGTTTTTGAATATTGACTCATGCACATCCCCAGTGAGCTGACCATTGAATTGGTGATCATGTTTTTCTGTAGCGCTGTGTTCTTGCAGGTACCAGTCAGAAATCTTCAGAAATGTTAGTGAAGAGTGACTGGGGGAACATTTTCAAAAAGAACTTTTTGAGGGGTCACTGTGCTTGCATATGATTAGGAAACTGCTTTAAGTTGTTCCTGATGATTTAGTGCTGAGCATCCCAGTTACTTGAGATATTATGTTTCATAGAGGCATATTCTTGCATAAACAGATTCCCACCCTTCTTTAGAACTCTCTTTGTCGTGCAGGCATTCTAGATTGAGGGTATAATGTTTTATTCAGAGGGTACATGTTTATGTCTCTTTCCCCTTTTGGTATCAGCCATGTTAAAATAATTTGACTGTAAAGGTTGTTAAAGAGTTGGTTTTTTTGTTGTCTTATAATAGAGAAATAAGTTATGGGGGCCCAAGTCGGTGCCATCCTCATACCACTGTAAATAAATCCTCTTCCGTGTTTTAAAAAGGACATCACTTTGCAGCAACCTGCAAACATGTAACCCTTTTCCAGTAAAAATCACAAGGTGGCCTTGAGCATTGAGCAGTCAGTCCCCATAATGAGAAGCCTGGGGAGGTCTCTTGAGCCTCCTGTGAGGCTTCACTGTGGCAACGTGGGTGAAAGCCAGGCCTGTGCTGACCTTGCTCAGCTTCTCTGAACTGTGCTGAGGAAATGGAGTCTGCATGGAGATGGGGGCCAGGAAGACCGCTGAACCCACCCTGGTGACTGAGAGCCTGAGGAGGGCGGCCAGGAAAAAAGAAGCCCTATTTGCTTGGCTCTCCCGGGACATGGTGGTGACTCAGCAGCAGGCATATTTGCTCAGCTTATTTTGCTGAGATGTTAATGAGTTAACAGGTATTGATTCTATTTGAATGGCTCAGATTCACTTCCTAGAAGGCCGTCTAGGTTTATTATTCTTTATTGTATTAGAGGCCCTAAATGTCAGAGATCAGGCTATGTGGAAACTCAGTACCATAGGTGACAACTATACTCACTGGAGATTTGTTCATCCTTAGTACACATATAATTTGTAATTTGTACATTACAAATTATATGACATTTGTTAATCTGTACATTACAGTGTATCAGATATCTACAGATAATACTGAGCTTACTGTCATCCGTAATAAAGCCACTTAAATAGATTCAAATTTTGTTTACCTTGTTCTAAGAGTCATGGCTTTTGAGATCCATAAAAAGTTGCAGGTTACTGAGCTTTGCTGATGTGCAGGTGGGTCGATTTCAGTTAATTGAAAACAATTCAGCTAACTGCTAACAGTTTTAGCTCCAGCTCCTTGCTAGAAAACTATCTTGGGAAAAGAATGCCCTATTTCATTATCCTATAGAAAACACAGTAGCAAGTAACTTCCTTCTTGTTATAACTGAATCAGTAGCATGGTATCATCTATGAATAATGGTATGTGTACAAATGGTACTTATCTTTTGTCATTTTAATAATTTTTTTTTGTTTTTAAAAATGAATCTGAATCTTGAGGCGCCCAGGTGGCTCAGTTGGTTAAGCGCCCAACTCTTGGTTTTGGCTCAGGTCACCATCTCAGGGTCTTGGGATCGAGCCCCATATCAGGTTCCATGCTCAGAGTGGAGTCTGCTTCTCCCTATCCCTTGGCCCCACCTCTCTCTCTCTTAAATAAAGGGATAAATCTTTAAAAAAATAAAAATTAATCTGAATCTCAAGGTATGTTATTCAGATTAGATTCAGCTGTGAGCAACAGGAAACATCAAAATAACCATGGCTTAAAGAAGAGAGACGTTTATTTCCCTCCCACAGAAAAGAAGCACAGGAGGAATCAGTCCAGGGCCGACTTGGTATCTAAGGTTCGAAGAATCCAAGCTCCTGCTCTCTTGCTGCTTCCTCACCCGTTGCTTCGGTTCCCAGTGTCTTTTCCTGGCCCTCCAACACTGCTGGCCATCCAGCCACATTATACCCACTTTCTAGCCGACAGGAAGGCAGCAGTAGGGAAGACGATGGAGGTGGGGGAGGGAAGATGCATGCCAGCTATCTTAGAAGCATGTTTGCTAAAGATGACATGTATTCTGTCTGCTTTCATCTTACTGGTGAAAAAGTACTCGTCTGGCCACACCTAGTGCAGTAAGGGTTAGAGATGTAGTTCCAGAAAAAAATGTGTGCAGCTAAAAATTTGGGCCTTTTTATGGAGGAGAAAGGGGAATAGACATTGGGAGACAACTAGCAACCTGTCACACAAGACAAAGCAGGACTTCAGCAAAAATTTTTGGTGTGGATGTGGCACCTGGGTGGCTCAGTTGGTTAAGCAACAGCCTTCGGCTCAGGTCATGATCCCAGGGTCCTGGGATTGAGCCTTGCATCAGGCTCCCTGCTCAGCGGGAAGCCTGCTTCTCCCTCCCTCTCTCCCC